TATTATTTTTGATTGAAATTATTATTTTTGATTGTGAAGATGCTTTTTGTTTGATTGAATCATAAAAACACAAATTTACCTCCATACCTTTCACGATGTGTAATTGTGTCAAAGGGACAGTTCAGCTGTTTTTTTGTTTTAATGGATTCCTGCGCCTCGATTTGGAGAAAGAGTTTATCTCTGACGACACTGACATGATAACTGTCCTCTGTGAGAATTTAAATAAAATAAACAAAATAAGAGTTAATTACATTTAAAAATAATCAGTCAAGACTTGATTCAGTAACTGAACAATGACGGAAAAAGTGGAAATAATAATAATAATAAAAACAAAACATCAGTAACTGAAGTTATTTAAACATGTAAAAGTTGCATCGTTAGACCTTGAAGTCATTGAATGTTTTCAGATGGCGGCAGCAGCAGGTAGCTGTAGCACTTTAGCATAGCCTGGGTCTTTTAGTTTTTATTTAATCTTCTGCTACTTTTAGCTTAACTAGCCTTTTGCTACCTTTAGCTAGCTGCTTAAACTTTTACGTAGCTTTTTTTTTTTTTTACCTATTTGCTGCTTTTATCTTGTAGCTATTATTTTGCTACTTCTAGCTGGCCTTTTGTTAATTTAACCATATAGCTTTTAGCTATCATTTTGCCTACATTTGTAATTCAAACATTTAGCTGTATTTTTTCTACAACATACTGGCCTTTTAATTTGAGCTTTTAGCTGTCATTTTTCTTCTTCTAGTGTTGTTTATGTTAGATTATAGCTATTATTTTGGTACTTTTAGTTGTTTTCTTGTTAAATTTAGGTTTTAGCTGTTATTTGTCTTCCACTAACTGACCTTTTGTCAACTTTAGCTGTTAGCTGTCATTTTGCTACTTTTAGCTTTTTTGTTGTTAGTTATAGCTGTCATTTTGCTACCTTTAGCTGGTGTTCTTTTAATTTTAGCTCTCATTTTGATACTTTCGCCTTTTGGTATTTTTAGCTGTCATTTTGCTACTTTTACCTGGCCTTTTGTTCATTTTAGTGTTCATTTTGCTATTTTTAGCTGGGCTTTTGTTAATTTTAGCTGTCAGTTTGCTACCTTTAGCTTGCCTTTTGTTCATTTTAGCTGTGATTTTCCTAGTTTTAGCTGGCCTTTTGTTCATTTTAGCTGTCATTTTGCTACTTTTAGCTGGCTTTTTGTTCATTTTAGTGTTCATTTTGCTATTTTTAGCTGGTCCTGATGCATCTCAGTAATCCAGGTAAAAAATCAAAAGGAAAAAAAATTGTATAGGTCCTCTGGACGGGTTCTTCTTTAATGAAACGTAAATGTGATGTGAGTATCAGTCACATGGAGGCAGGGCTTAAAAGCCTGAATTTAGCCTGAAACTCTCAGACTGAAGAAGTCTCTTGGAAGAGAGATGAAACGTTTCATTAGAGAAGAACCCGTCCAGAAGACCTATACAATTTTTTTTCCTTTTTATTTTTAGCTGGGTTTTTGTTAATTTGAGCTGTCATTTTGCTACTTTTAGCTGGCCTTTTGTTCATTTTAGTGTTCATTTTGCTATTTTTAGCTGGCCTTTTGTTAATTTTAGCTGTCAGTTTGCTACCTTTAGCTTGCCTTTTGTCATTTTAGCTGTGATTTTTGCTAGTTTTAGCTGGCCTTTTGTTCATTTTAGTGTTCATTTTGCTATTTTTAGCTGGCCTTTTGTTCATTTTAGCTGTCAGTTTGCTACCTTTAGCTTGCCTTTTGTCATTTTAGCTGTGATTTTCCTAGTTTTAGCTGGCCTTTTGGTCATTTTAGCTGTGATTTTGCTCGTTTTAGCTGGCCTTTTGTTCATTTTAGTGTTCATTTTGCTATTTTTAGCTGGCCTTTTGTTAATTTTAGCTGTCAGTTTGCTACCTTTAGCTTGCCTTTTGTCATTTTAGCTGTGATTTTTCCTAGTTTTAGCTGGCCTTTTGTTAATTTTACATATCATTTTGCTACTTTTAGCTGGCGTTCTGTTAATGTTTCTCTTCCACACTGAATATTTGGCAGAACATTTCTGTTTTTATTTTAGCGCGTCTGATTTTTTGCATCATTCCTCTTCCTGTCCAGGACTTTTCGGCTTGTTGATGTGAATTTCGGCTGTTTATTTATTTTCGTTTTTTTGTTTCCCAGGATGAAAACGACAACCCGCCTGTGTTCAGCCAACAGTCTTACATCATCAAAATCCCAGAGAACATCATTGCAGGTGAGTGGTTCAGTCACCAGGACCTGGTCCTGCAGCTCAACACAAACACTCGTCTTTGTCTCGAGTCGATTGATAACTGCAAATTCAGCAAATAGTTTTACTTTCCTCGGGTTATTTCTTCCTGACGGCAGGTTTTATTCCTCCTCTGTCCTCTAAGCTGGGCTGTTTTATTTGTTTTTCTCTGGATAATGATTTGAAACGCTCGATCAGAATGTAGGATGTTGACTATTTAAGGGAAATGTTCGGCTGTTATTCTCATGAACTCTTTTCCCTCTCAGACGATGGATTAGTTTCCCGTTGCTTGAGGGAGATGTGATGTCTGACAGCACCTCCCCGTCTCGTCTCTGGGCTCCTGCAGAGTCAGGACGTGTTTTATTTTCCACGTCCTGTTTAAAGGACGCGGCCCAGCAGCGAGGACGGAGGCTGGACTTCAGAGGAACGTGTCTGAAGTCTCCGGCCCTGAGCCCGGAGGCCCGAGGCGTGCGTTTGGAGAGGGCGCTCGGGGCTAGCCCCGCAGCTTTGACCAGCATCTCTTCCCCTCGCTAACCTCCGTACCGATAACCTCTGAGCCAAACGGGCCGATAATCCACTAATCCATAAACCCACTCAGTGCTGAGGACGTTARCTCTGCTGCTGTCTGACTCTAGATTCATGTTTCCTCTCCCAGGGTTCCTACAGTTTAAGGCAAGTTCAGTTTAAGACTTTTTAATGTCAAATTAGGTTAAATTTAAGACCTTTTAAGACTTCTTAATGTCAAATTAAATAAATTTAAGACATTTAAAGACTTTTTAATGCCAAATTGGTTAAATTTAAGACCTTTTAAGACTTCTTAATGTCAAATTAAATAAATTTAAGACATTTAAAGACTTTTTAATGCCAAATTGGTTAAATTTAAGACCTTTTAAGACTTCTTAATGTCAAATTAAATAAATTTAAGACATTTAAAGACTTTTTAATGCCAAATTGGTTAAATTTAAGACCTTTTAAGACTTCTTAATGTCAAATTAAATAAATTTAAGACATTTAAAGACTTTTTAATGCCAAATTGGTTAAATTTAAGACCTTTTAAGACTTCTTAATGTCAAATTAAATAAATTTAAGACATTTAAAGACTTTTTA